TATCGCTATCTTAAAGCCAAAGAGAACCCTTTTGAACCTACGAAGACTTCTAAAAACCGCTCTCAACATGTTCATTGACTTCCCTGCAAATACAATGCAACATGAATTTATGATATAGCGCTCATTTCTAGAGCTCAATAGCGTTTTACAATGTTGTAACTTATGCATAGAAAAAAGTACTATGTTTTGTAACAAATGCATAGAAAAAAGTTTCATTGTGGATATACCATTCAATTTTGAAATTAAATTTAGCTTGATAAATCCTCTATCACATCATGACTTATAAACTTATGGTGTTTATCAAAATTTAGGCTTTTGAATGCTTTGGAAACAATTTCTCCAAGAAGCAGATGAATTCACTGACAAAAGTAATCCCCCAAATCAGTTGTTAGGTAAGTTTAATTGCTGACATGTAAGATGCAGATTGTCTTGTCATAAATTGTCCCTTGAAAACTAAGAGAAAAAAGCTGTGCTAATGTGTGTTAGTTTATTCCGAGGTCACTTACTGAATTGCTATAAATATATGATAATAATAATTTTAATTACTCACACAGAAAACCAGCCAGCCCTTGCAGATTCCAAAGGGCATCCACTTGATTAAACCAGTTTTATTTACTGTTATCCCTATTTGTTTTCTTGAAGAGGTCCTTCCAGTTATTCCACACAACTAATTTATGACAAGAATGTTAATGGTGTTATTTATGAGGCATTTTTTTGGTTTTTAAATCATATAATATCAGTTTTAATTATAGTCAACAGTTTGGTTTTTAAGTTTTGACCGGTAATAATTGCAACAATCATTGTCAATGATGGACTTGTAATTGATATATGTGTCTATTTGAATGTAAATATTCTACCCACCACACCAGTGGAGTATCTTTTAATTCAAATGCATCACAAAAGTTCTGATACATGCATATGATTCTGACCATAGCCTTCTCTCTTTGTTGATAAGACATGATTAATTATCAGTGCTTACTGTTGCCCCAGGTGGGGCACTGTTTTTTTTGTGACAAGAGCAAACACAAACTGGTATAAGATGTGTCATCTTCTCAGCCCAACTCATAAAAGATGTGCCATCTTAAAAGCAGGATAGGTTGCCCTTGTTACAAAGTCAGAAAGGAAAATTTTAAAATTGTATTTCTTGCTTTTTTTGTTGCTCTTCCAAGTCAATATTCCTGTTAGAAGGCTATGGTGGCCTAACTAGTTAAAACTCTGGTTTATAATTTCAAGTTTGATCTGCCAGTTGCTCGTCCAAATTCAATTTCATAGATCAATTTCATTGATCAATAATTGGCAGGAATTGGGAAATAAATTGGTACATGCCATATGTATGTTATCTAGCAGCGATGTAAAATTATAGACATGAGTATGACCTATGAAGTAATTTGTACCTGATGGACCCTAGAGCACCTTATCAGTGCATTATTAAAAAGGTCCCTCTAATTTTCATTCACAATTCGTAAAGCAGAAGTACAAAATTAGTTTAGACCAAGGGCACACATAAACTTACTAAAGACATGCACATACATAAGACTCCTGCTGTGACATGGCTAGGGTCACTTTACCTGATTAGAGTGTTAATTATTACTTTCTTAAGCAGAGGTTTCATTAAGATTATTGAGGTGATGGGAAATGCACAAGGAAGCAGGCAAAATATGTTTTGATTCTGATTTATGTCAGTCACAACTTGCAGGAAAATTATGTTCCCAGCCAGTCAATTTGCCTAGTGTCAGGCCCGTGAAACCCCTGCTTAAGCTTATTGTATTCAGTGAGATATTATGGAAGCCAGTGTTGCCATAATGCCTGTTGTTGTTGGTCTTCTTACAGGGCTGGCATCCAAACATTCTTGAGCCATGGAAACCAAAAGTGGAATGTTTTGCTTAACACCTACTTTGAACAGAATTTTACCAAGGGAAAAAATATCACTGGCTTTGCTACAGGGAGAACCATTAAGAACCTCAGGAGCAATATGAGGATAACAGATGCTGTACTTCTTTGCAGGAGGAAAGGAGCTGTCACATGCTTTTCCAAAATCGATGATGTAGCCATGTTTGTTACTCACAAGAACATTATTAGCCTTCAAATCACAGTGAAGAAAGCCTTTTGTGTGAACATGCGAAAGGGCTTCTGTCAAATCATGTGAAATAATTAACCAGTCATTTGTTATTAGTGAGCTTTGTACATTCTGTATTGTTGCACTGTTTTTCTGACAAGACAATAGTTTGCTTTTGGTTACAGATGTATTGTCTACCCCTTTAAACTCCATTATTAAGGAAATGGGCTGCTTTTGAAGCTGCACACCTATTATGGTTGGGATATTTTTATGTGCGAGTGCCTGCATAATGTGAGCCTCCTTCATTATCTCTGTGGTGTCTTGCATCAGAGACTGTTTTTCCACAACCTTTATATCAAATCTTGTGTTAACTGTCTCAGAAGGCATCGACCATAGGATCCTTCTCCCAGTATTATATTCTCTCCATTGGTTGGAAGAAGTTCAGTATGATTGATTAAGTTTACAGTGGAATATTTGGTACTTGCATTCCTTTCAAAAAACTGGAAAATGAAGGCAAATATGTTATAGAGAGTGTGCTTAAATAAATGCTAGATTGAAACGCAAGTAAAGGTGAAGATTGTTGATCTCTTTGTCTGGCATGCAAATTACTGCAAAGTAATACTTCCTTAATACTTAATACAAAGTAGTACTTCCCACTGGGGAAAAGATTATGGATGGCATAATAGTGCACTTGACAACCTCCACGATTTGACAGTGTGTGCTATTTCTTCTGCGCTGTATTAAGAGCTTTCCAGTTTACCATTGAAAACGTGTCTTGGTACTGGGCCCTGGCTTTTGAGTTCATCTTTCGGAAAGAGCTGTAAATTGCTTTGGATTTCTTGACGTAGGTGGAACGTTCGACCGCAAAGACTTCTTGACTGTCACCCTCGAACACTGCAAGATAGTTCTTCCACTTTTCACTAGGGTCAGTTTCAACCGAAGCACTTCCAACCTTACGAAAGCTCTCCTTTACAGCAACTCTTGCAAATCCACAATTAAAAATGACAGACATTTTCGTTTCATACGAATACACTTAGCTCGTTATCGAGTAGTACCGTTGTCAGGGAACAAAACCTTGAAGAGTTTCAAGGAATCAGTGTGCGTATCTCGCGATAACTTTCAAGTTTTGCGCCAAAATTGTAATTCAGTCTATGGTAAAAAGTTACAATTAATATAAAGTTGAATATTTGAAAGCTAAGAGATATACATAACAATCATCAAATCCTATGCATCCTAGCAAAAAAGGGTCAATTACCACCACAACTTCTCCCAAACATTCATACCAATAACAGGAAATCATTAACTCAAGTCACAAGGTGGTACTATACTTACAATAGTTCTATAGACACAAATGCATTTTTTTCAAGTCATCTCATAGCTCATGACTGTACAGGTCAAGTGGAAGGTTCTTTCTAGGGGACTGACATTTCAATTACCTCAGCAAACTGTAATTATCAGAATTGCAAGCCAAGGTGTATTTACCAAGTGCTCAAGTTTCCAAAGTAATCACGTAATTGTTACAGTCAAGTTCACTCCTTTCAAGATTTCATACGACCACGACTGTTAACATTCAAGATGGCAGGCGGTCGTGGTCTATGGGCTCCTCGTTCCATCTGCATTGTATTGTATTTCTACCTCTGTTTTACTTATTACAGCTCTCAGAAATCTAAGCAACATCAAAACAAAGCATTTTACGCTTCCAGCATTTCCTCTAGACCAAGAATAGAGACTTATGGCTATCAAACACGAAACTCCAGTGCGACGAGATCAAATGGACTCGTTTTAAACTCTACCCGAGCTCTCCTCGGTTGCCGGCTAATGCTCAATACCTCTATCTCGCTACTACTCATTCATACGGTTAAGAATATATGAAAGTCATATATTTGAACTGCGGATAAAGACAGGA